AATGTCACAGTTACAGCTGGAGGTTTGAGAGTCAGAATTCAGGTCTTGCTTCATTTACCTTCCCCTTGGGTTTTATCCAGCAAGGGTAAAGCTCCCCCGAGGGTTTTTGGGAATGGGATATGGATGAGGCTCCGCAGGGTCATCAGTCTCCAGGCTGATCAGCTGCCCCGTGTTCAGTTCCTCTTCATTTCCACAACTCTAAAAGACTGAGCTTTAAACTCCTGCTGCAGGTGTTTATTTAAACAAAATAATCCTGGAAAATGCTATCAGAATTTATTTGGCTTTTCCCAGGGAGACATCTAAGTAAAAGTGATATTTTCTCCATATTCAAAGCACTCTTGCAACAATTTGCAGTGGGAAAGGAACTTCAAATTTAGGAAAATACGCATTATTTATTTTTTTCCTCACTGATATTGTAGTTATTCTGTCAGAACTTTCTTGAATTTGGGTAAGGGAGAAACCCATCAGGGCTTACATTTCCCACACACACAGGGGCTTGTCACTGTGTTGAAGGGTAACTTGTGCTTCGTCTCAGGTGCCATTTTTGAAATATATTCAGCCTTGTTCAGGAAAATCTGCAGATCCAGAGTGATACTTCCTAAAGAAAACTTTCTACAAACAATCATTCCTCAGTTTTCAGAGCAGAGCTTGAATAGCATCCAACAAATCAAGCTGCAGTCCAAGTGTGAAACAGGCACAGATGAAATCAAATATTGAATAGTCATTCATGAATCCTGCACTGAATTGAGGGAATCCTCCTCCCACCCCTCCTGGCATTTTTGGAGTTGTGGGATGAAATTTATATCCTAGGAATACATGAGCTTGTGCTGAACTCTGCTTTTTTACATTCTTCACTTTCCACTAGGAGCGTTTGTATTTTTTAACCTGGCATGGGACTGTGGTGAATAATCAATGCCTTCATGGGAGAATCGGCCTTTTTTTCTCCCTAAGGGTCCAGGGCTTGAAGAGGGCCCAGTAATGTGAATAATACTAAAATCCAGTGCTCTTATCCCTGTTCCAAAGGCACTGCTGGGATAGACAACTGAAAATAAGGAATTAGGCCTTCCAGGTGTCACCTGGGTATGGAGAAATGCAAGGTAGGAGTGGCCCTGGCTCATTCCTGCTGTTAAAGCCTTTACTGCACAACAGAAGAAACTCTCTTATTGTACAAAAATCCACTTGGGGTTCTCAGGTACTCTTTTGGATATTCTTGTATCTTTAAAATTCAGATTTGTTTGGATTTAGGAGTCACGGAAGATTTTGGCTTGAAGCAGCAAGTGCCCTTTCCCCTATGCTGGGAGAAAAAAGGGAGAGCTGATAATGCATTGCAAAAATTTAGTCTATTATATAGATTACACACAAGCTGACAAGTTCCTCAGGTCAGCTTAATCTGTTTTCTTCTGTGCAAGGGAAAACGACCATTTAATTATATGGGGAAAAACATGGTCCTCCTGATTGAGAGAGTCACATGAGTGCAATTTACTTTATCCCTCCATTCATTTGGGGGACATGGATGCAGTTCAGACAGGGATGTTATTTCAAGTTTAATTGGGTGGGCTAAGAGTGGCAAAACCCCCAATGTCCCCATCAAAACAAAACCTCTGTGGTGGTGGTGTTGTAAGGGACAAAATTGATCCTTTGCTTTGTTCTTACACGCTTCATTCATCTGTGTTTTTCTTCTTCTGTGGTTAAAATGATCCGTGATGAACCTGGCATCCTGGGAGGTTATTCAGGAATTCACCAGAGCACATCCCCTGGCACAGGTTCCCCATCCCTGCAAGTGTCCAAGGGCAGGTTTTGGATCACCCTGGCATAGTGGAAAGTGCTCCTGCCCATGGCAGGGGTGGCACTGGATGAGCTCAAAGATCCCTTCTAAACCATTCTATGATTTTCCATGTATAGCTGATTTTCCAGGAGCTATTTCCATGATTCCTGAAACTGGGACGAAGATGCACCAGGAGTAATTCAGCGTCAGCCTATTCTAAACAGGGCTGTGATAAAAATCCTGCCTTTAGATTTAATATTGTCAATATTTCCCACTCTGAAGTGGAACACTCCACAGCCACCGAGGGGAAGATTCCCAGTGGCTGGGGCACAACCCCGTGAATAATTCCATGAATAATGTGGACCATTATCAGTTTGTGTTCCCAAACAAACACCAGTCTTAGCACATCTTCATCGGACCGGCTCTGAAGTCAAGCAGCCACTTAGCAATTAAAACTTTAATTGCTCCACGATTAAATTTGCAACTACAATGTAATTAGCAGAGTTTAATTTGGGAAAGCGAGGCTCTGGCTGAGAGGCCTGAGGCTCAGGGATGTGTTCTGGGGACCAGGGCAGCAAGGGGAGCTCTGTTCCCTCTTGGATTTCATGGAATATCCCCAAAGATCGTTGAAGTCCAACTCCTAGGACTAGTTTTTAATAAGAAAAGCTTACTTTAATGAAGTTTTAGTGAACCTCCCAGAAATCTTGCAGAGCAACAGGGTGAGGTGAGGCTGTGGCACAGGTTGCCCAGAGTGGCTGTAGCTGCCCCATCCCTGGAAGTGTCCAAGGATAAAGAACCAAAGAACTGAGACTTGGGTATCTGCAGGACTCAAAATATTTTGAGTTCTGCATGGTTAAAGGGATTTTTGGAGGTTTTTCTGTTGGGAGCAGGCTGGTGGATGGTGGAGGCATCGATCTCTTTTATTGACCCTTAACTCTTGTCACCTTCTCATGTTCATCCTGGAAAGGGAATGGCTGGAGCCCTTGGAACTGGGGAACTGAAGACACTTAAGATTTTCATTTTATGCTCTATTTGAAAAATCATATGCATTGCCCATTGTTATGGAATAACTTCTTACAGCTGACAGAAAAGTGCATTGTTTGTATGCCAGCTAAAGCTCCCCAAAATCAGCTCAAGCTTTAAATTAAATATAATATTGAATTCAATAATGCTCAATATTTAGACTGAAATGCAGCATTTTCTGATTCTCCTGCCTGGAGAGAAGCATTTCTTGCATTATTTAGTATTTGTCTGATGGAGATGCCAAGGCAAGCTGCAGATGTATCTCCATTAATTGATCAATATCGTGTTGTATTTCATTTGGTTCCTTTATCAGGTTGATACAGCAGAACAATTTGTTTGCTCCATGGAAAACTGCACTCTATAGGCTGCCAGGTAGGAAAAGAAAATGGGAAAAATCCTCCAGCACTGCTTTGAATTCCATGAGAGGTGAATTTTGCTCACGTTCTGGGCATCTTATGGTGAGGTGTTTAATGTTCCAGATTGCTTAGTTACACAGCAGGAGAATGGGAGGCTTTCTCCAGGACAGTAAATTATAATTAAAGAGCACATTAATTACCAAACCACAGAACATCTTTTATCTAGTCTTGCCAATACCTACAATATTGTGCTGGGAAATCTTCTTGATACTTTTAAAACAAGTATTTTAATTTCATCAGCAATATGTTTCTTGTGCTCCCCAATACTTGGGAATAATGTGATCCCATCTGTGCATTACTGCTCAGAATTGTCCATCTTTCTTTGGAACCCATGAGCCAAAAGTTAGGAAAAGTCATTCCCTTTGCAGGTTTTTGTTGTAGAGCTTTATCCAGCAGAGCTTTTTGCAGAAAAAGCTGCTGAAACTCAGTTCTATTAAACAAAAAATTACGTTCTTCAAAATAATTTAGAAATCTCTGCAGTGTGTGAGGCACCACTAAAGGTTGATATTGCTCATTCTTGAGAGAAACACCTCTTTTTGTACTTCTTGTTAGATTGATACTTAAAATGAAGAAATGAATCAAACATTTATTAAAATAGTCATAAAAATTAACTTGTAATGAAGATATTTGAATCCCCCCCAACTCTGCTATTCTGTATTACAGAAAACACATTTTACACTCCCACAGCCCAGCTAACCTTTAGGTCATAATATGTACCAAACAGCCACGATAGGCTTGATAAATAATCATCTTTTCCAACCTAAATGAATCTGTGTTTCAGTTCTCTGGTTGTATTTCCTGATCCCTGGAGCTGTTTCCCAGTTTGGGGTGTCAGGGAAGGCTTTTTAGTGGTGCTAGGATTCAAAACCTTCGCTCTTTTCCTTCACCCTTTTTTTTTTTTTGGTGGGAATAACCCTGTGGCCCCCTCATACCTGTCCCCTCTTCTTTCCCTTATCTTGGCTCATTTTCTTCAAATCTTGCTTTTCAAACCCTCCAATATTTAAAAGATTGGTCACTTCCAACCTCACAGGTTGGTCCTGAGCTCCTTTCTCTCCATCCAACCTGGGATTTTAACCCCTCCTCATGCTGCATCCCTTCCTGGTATGGTGCAGGTAATCTGATAAAGCAGATTTCCCCTCATAAAATGAGATATTCAGAAAGGCAAGGGGTGGAGAGATGGGAATTAAATAATAGCCACGGGTCAGAGTAATTTTCTTTTTGATAATAGTTCTGTTATTCATGGATGAGTGTTCTCAGGGATTAGTTTCTCAGGGAAAATGAGCAAAATGACACCGCCGTTTTCATGTGTGGTGGTAAAGACCTAAATATTTTTCTTTTTGAGCACAGAAAAATTGGGGTAAATTTCACCTGAAAGTGTAAGAGGTGAAACAAAGTTCACACTGACTGTACTGACTGTACAGATGCTCCACTAAAAAACATTCAAGTGTTGAAAAGTTTCTGTATGCAACAGTTGGTTTTAATCTTGTGATGAGTTTATGTGCTCTTCTTCATAATACATTTAATTCCTCTTGAAGTTGTAGGGCTCTGGAGATTTTTGTTCACAGTATGGAATCCCAGGATGTTTGGGATTGGAAGGGACCTCATCCTCTTCCACCCCCTGCCATGGGCAGTGACACCTTCCACTATCCTGGGTTGCTCCAAGCCCTGTCCAGCCTGGCCTGTAATCAAATACATTTTAAAAGTTAAATCAAAATAACATTAATCTTCCTTTTAAAATGTCTGAAATTACGTAATTGCCCTTTTCAAATGGTCTTTTTCTCTTCTTTTTCTCACAGATGGGAAGGTTGAAGTGACAAAAGAGGGAGTGAAGCTCTGCACCATGGGACCTGGCAAAGTTTTTGGGGAGTTAGCCATCCTCTACAACTGCACCCGGACAGCTACTGTCAAAAGTAAGAGCATTTTAGATGTTTTTTCATCTTTTCACTTGGAAGTTGCAGCCTCTTTTAGATGTTTCTCAGTGAATTCAACTCTTTAGGGCATGGATTTTGGTATGGAATTTAGCCACTCTGTGTTGAAGAAGATGCAGAGGAAATGCTTCATTCAGTCACTCAGGTTGGTCCTACCCCACGCAGAGGAGTCTGAAAATTATACCACAGTTTTCCTTACAATTCCTGCTGAATCTCATGGTAATTATTTTCTTATTGCTTAGAAGACCCTTTCTGGCGTGTGTAGGTTTTCAAGGAAAACTCAGTAAGGCAAGCTCAGTTTTTGCTGAGGACAAGTCATTGTTTTCCCACTAAGCTGACTAAAATGAATCAGGAGAAAGAAAATCTGGATGGTACTTGACCCCCCGCTCTAAACTCCTCAACACTTTTCCTGTTACCTGTTTTCTTTTATGAACGTTCTGGGCAAAGGCTTGGCTTGCAGAAATTAAGCAGAGGAAATAAATCACATTGCTTATGTACGACTTAAATAGGTTTTTGTTTAAATTCAGATGCAGAGTTGAGATCTGGGATATAGGATATCACTGTCCTCCTTGATCTTGAGGACAAGTTTGTGGTGGCATCTGAAGCAGAGGGAGATAGTAAATAGTTGTGTGGTCTTAAGGTGCTGTGGGGGAGGAGTCAGAAGGGTACAGATGGTACAGAATAATCCAAACAAGAGGTACAGACTTGAATAATGCAAACCTGTGGTATTCTCGTGCCAGAATAATGAGCTATGCGAGTCCCTGCTCAGAAGAAAGCCTTTTCCAAATACCTAATTGTGCTTCACAAAGAGAGAAAGGAAAGGAACAAATGGACAGGAATGAGAAAGCAGGGACAGATAAGTGGATTATTTTCTGCAGGATGTGCTATTCTCTGTAAGGCTGAAGGACATGACTGATGTTCTCTGTTCTCACCTGTGCAAACCTTGCCTTTACACAAGTGCTGGGTACCTCAGGTGATGGTGAAAAATTCAGAGAAGCAGCAGGTTTGTGTGATAAATACAGCTGGGGAAGGCTGGAAAGAGCAGAGGGAAAGGTCAAATCTTAGAAAAGGCAAAGAGAAGATGGCTGTTGTTTATTTCCTCTTAGGAATGCAGAGCTAAAAGGCACCTGATCCTACATTCCCACGAGTTGAATCCCACATCACCACTCTGTTCCTGTGGCCATTCTCACCTGGCTGTGCAAGGGACTCCCACAGGGAATTATACACTGCAGGTTTTCCTGATAGTTTTCCTCTTAGTGCCTTTTCCACGGCCTCGGGCTCCCCTCCAGAGTGGCACTTGGCATTCAGCTGTCCCAAATCCCTCTGTCCTGCTTAAACTGGGGGCTGGGGTAAGGTCACTGTTCAGAGAGTCTCAAGGAAGAGGATTCTGTGTTCCTCCTTCCTCTGGTCCTTCCCTGGCAGCATTGTGTAATTAGAGTTCTGCTGGGTTTTAATCTCTTTCCCAGGGCCAGCAAGGGACTTTGAGGAATTTTCTCTCTAGTTAGTGCACAAATGAGTGCATTTGGGGTTGTAATGAGCTTGGGGAACTGCAGCTCACCCTCGCTGAGCTGAGGGTGTGGAGGTGTTCACGTCCCCTCAGGGCCTGGTATTGACTTAGCTGATCCTACACAGCTTCAAACACCTGCTTGTTCCTTCGGGAAATGAGCAATAAATGTAGGAAATGCCTAGAAAGGTGAGTGGTGGTAAATACTCCATTAAGCCTGGGGATAACTTGGATCATTCCAAGGTTTATTCCCAGAGAAATGGAACTGGTGACTGTAGTGAGAACAGACAGCGCTGGTGGTAAAGAAGTGTCAGGGAACATCATCCAGCTCCCATTTGGAGAAACACTCAGGGCTTCCCAATTTTCAGGAGAGAGCTGTCCATCATCTCCAGAGTGTCAGGAGTGTGTTTTGATGTGCCTGCTTGTTCTTCATTATGAGGACATTAAGAGCTGCTTTCTGAGGATGAAGTTGCAGCAGAGGCTGAGTGAAGGATGGATTTATTGGGGTGTGGAGCTCAGCGTTGCAGCTGGGCCATAATGAGGTGTCAGCTGAGTTGACATCTCCTCCTGGATCTGGGCTTTATGTGTACCCTGGCTTTGGTTTGTAAATAATAAAGATTTTAGTGTCATTATTCACTGTTAGTCTACATGGGCTCTTCAGCTCGTGCTCACTCTGCAGGAGCAAACTTGAACTATAAATCACTGGAGGAAGGGCTTTGTCTTTGCAATAGAATTTAGAAGATGTTAAAATTTAATGATTCTGATCTGACTCCTGTCTCATAACGACCCCTTTAATACGGCACTCCAGGGCTTTGAAAAGCCTGCCCCAGGAGCACTATCAACATATTTTTTCCCTATTATTGCAGTCTTAAATAAAAGCAGAGTGGGGTTTGAGTTCAAGGAGGGCCTGGGAAGAACCCAGACTTGGGTGTTGAGGAGCACCAGGGAAGGCAGGAACACATCTCCTGACATGTGGCCTTTTTAAAAAACAAACTTACACTTTTTGACATCTGATTTTTGTTTGGTTATTCTGTAGTGTTTGCTTTACATTTCCAGATATTAGTGGGGTGTTTGGGAGTTTTTTGTTTCGCTTTTTCTTCTTCTGGTAGAAATTGGTCAGTCTGCTCTAAGTATGGAGCTTACTGACTCCTTGATGTTCACAGATCACCTTCCATTGCACACTCAGTGAAATCCAAATCAGCAGCTAATTTCTCCCTCTCTCTGTTGATTATCCAGAGTTCTCAAGTGCCTGTGTGCAAACCTGGATACTGCTTGCAATTCAAAGCAGAACCACAGACTTTCCTCCATGATTCCAACAAATAATTAGGTTTGGAATGAGAAAAACACCGCTTGCTATGGCTGCACCTAAAACGATGTCTCTGATCCTCTGTTTTTAAAGACATGGTTGGAAAAATGATCTATGAGAGGTCAGCAAAAAGACAAAAAAGACAGAAATCCCCCCAGATGAATTGAGGTTGTGTTTAAAACATTGCAATTCTTCATTTTGATAGCAGAAAAGATGTGGGAGGAAGTGAAATTAATCTGCTCTTAATATTGTGCAGAAGTGCTCATTCCTCTTAAAGAATAATGCGTGGAGCAAAATTTTGCAGGTGATTTAAGGCAGATTTTGTGGAAGGAGCAGATTCTTCATCCTCTAAGGATTTTCTGCTTATTTTAGAAATGGTCTTAGCACCCAAAATGGATTCTCTTGGGGGTAAAATTCAAATAATACCATCCCCTAGAAACATCTCTGTGCGAGACTGATGATTTCAGGGGCGTTACACTCCGCACCAAACCGTGTTTTTAGGAGAACTCTTAGGAAAAAAAAAAAAAAAAAAGAAGCAAGCAAAAGCTGAAGTTATTAAACTCTAAATTATGTAAATCCTTTTGCTGGCCCTCAAAAGGCAGCACAAGAGTCCCTCAAGCTGCTGTGCTTGCCAGCTGCACTAATTGTACAAAACCCAGCGCGGTGCAGAGGGATTAAGGCAGGAGCTCAGCCCTTCCTTGCCAAGCCTGAATGAGTTTGAATTTTCCACTGCTGTTTTTGTTTTAATGGAGTCCTGTGCACTGCTCACTGCAGCCCCAGGAATGACAGAACTTTGTGAGGAGCTTGGTAACGTGGATAATTTGTGAGGAAAAATAAGGCAGCAGTGAGTTGCCAATTAAAACTGCAGAGACTCGTTAAAAGCCTTGCAGAAGGATGTTGCCTTTAGATGTTCTCCAACAATTACAGGAGCCAGGGTAAAGTTTGTTCAGCTCTCCCTAAAACACACTTTGGAAGGAAGTTGACTTTAGATACTCAGCTGTTTGATTAAAATCTCTCTGATATTACATGGAGATAAGAAACCTGGGGTGGCCCAGCCAGTCTGGTGTTCCTGGTGGGAGATAAATGGAATATAAATGGATATATCCTGGGAGAAGGTAATTTAAACTCACCCTTCCACTGCCTGTATTTTTCTGTGACCTTTACCGGTTTTGTAAGTAATGTGACAAAATGGGATTGATTATTCCTCCAAGAAGATGATAATGAGAAAATTATGTTGAGGACAATGGACAAAGTGTAGCAGGAGTTCTTTCCCCCCCTCTTCTTCTTCAGGAGCATCTTCAGGATGACATTTCTGTGGCTTTGGAGACAGAGGCACAGGAATGGGTGGTCCTAACTGAAATTTTAACTGAGGGGCAGACTAATCCAAGAGAAATAAAGAAAACAGAATGGAAAATTCATTCACCTCCTGGGATCATTGTGTACCTGAAACATCCCCAGGCGTGTTGGTTGCCCAGAGAAGCTGTGGCTGCTCCTGGATCCCTAAGTAGTGTCCAAGGCCAGGCTGGACAGGCTTGGAACAGTCTGGGGTAGTGGAAAATGTCCCTGCTCATGGCAGGGATGGCACTGGATAGGCTTTGAGGTCCCATCCAACCCAAACCAGTCTGGGATTCCAGGATTCACAAATTTCCCAGGATCTGCTTCCTGTCCCCCTTTCTAAAGCCTTAAAGGAGGTGCTGAAGGAAGAGGTGGGGCAGCCCCAGCTTCTCTGGGCACCCTGTGCCAGGGCCTGCCCACCCTCCCAGGGAACAATTCCTTCCCAATATCCCATCTATCCCTGCCCTCTGGCACTGGGAAGCCATTCCCTGTGTCCTTTCTCTCCATCCCTTGTCCCCAGTCCCTCTCCAGCTCTCCTGGAGCCCCTTTAGGCCCTGGAAGGGGCTCTGAGGTTTCCCTGGATCCTTCTCTTCTCCAGGTGAACACCTGGAGGTTCTGGCATCATGAGCAGCTTTAAGACTGGATATTTATTTATGGGAAAAACTTCCAGTGTTAAATCCATGTTTAAAACCTCTATGGACCTGTATGGCCAAGCAGATAAAGTAACAATAAATAACAAAGCCCTGTTTGTTGTGTCTGATACAGGAGGAGGGTGATCACCACACCAGGGAAATGAAGAGCTTCCGTTGTTCTGGAACACTTGTGGAAATAATTTTG